GAGCGGGCGGGCAGGTGCCAGGTGCCCGGGGCCGCTCCCGCGCGGCCCGCGCCCATAAATGCTACAACCTGCCGCCTCCCCGCCCGCTCATTGGCTGCGGCGCGCCACGTGACCCGCCCCGCCGCCGGCGTTCCAGAGGTGTCAATGGGGCTCGGGGAGGGATGATGTCACCCGCGCCCCCTCCCGCCCCAGCCCGGCACGGGGGGTCGCTGCAAGGACCTCCAGGCGCCCCCGGTGGAGGGTGGCCCGGCAGAGGGAGGGGCGCTGGGCAGGGGGCCCAGAGCCCGGCTCAGAAGAAAAAGGATCAAAAGGACCCGAGCAAACAGGGCCCGGGGGAAATAAATGCCACGTCCCTGCGCGCTCCCCGGGCTCGTCCGGGCACCGTAGGCCCGTCTTGCCCCGTGCCCCGGGTCGCAGAGCGGCCGCGCAAGGGGGTGGCCCGCGTCTGGCGGGGGATGGTTGCCCCGATGCTCTCCATCTAGGGTCCAGGGAGTTCTGATCAGGGATCCCGGCTTTCTGCCATTAAAAAAATACCCCGATTTCCAAGTTTAAAAAAAAAAACCCAACTCTACATTTTTCCATGATTCAAATGAAACACCACTAATGCGCGCGCGCACACACACACATCAGTGTTACTTTTGGGGTTACTTTTTTCAACTCAAAAATTGGGGATTTTTTTTATTAGGGAAAACCAGGATCCCTGGTTCTGATGTGGAGGCTGGGCCATTCCCTCCCGTGCTCAATAGTGACTGATGCCCCTTTCCTCCGAGCATCTGTCCAGGGCCAGACAGGCATGGGCAAACTGGGCAGCCACCCAGGAGCTGGACAGAAAGGGGGCCTGAAAATGGTAATTTTTTTGTTGTTGTCCGATTATTACCATTATCTCTGGTGAAGGGGGCGGGGGGGCGATACTAAAAGTTCGCCGGGGGCCACCAGGAGTCTTTGTGCGTCTGTGTCCCGTCCCTTTGTGCGTCGGGCTGAGTCCTCAGCTTCTCCCACAGCTGGGGGCCACAAGTCCCACCTTTGAATCACGTGCTAGGTGAAAAAGAAACTCCTCTGGTTCATTTTAAACTGGGACCTATCGGTTTCATGTTGTGACCCCTAGTTCTGGTCTGGTGAGAGAGAGTCAATAATAATAAATGCTTCAATGTTTAGTAGTTAGTTCCCCCCAAGCATCTGTTTTCTAAGCTGACTAGGCCTAGCCGCATTAGTCTCTCTTCACGTGGAAGCCCCTCCGTACTACTTATCCTCCTGGTTGCCCTTCTCCAGACCTTTCCTAGTTCTCCTACATCCTTTCCGAAGTGCGGGGGTGAGCACTGGGGACAGTATTCACGGTGTGGATGTGCCATGGATTTATGAAGGGGCACGATGCTGGTTTCCATTGTGTTGATGAAGCGGGGCGTTAGATCTGTACAGACGGCGTTGGGGGTGCAGAGTTGCAGTGATGGGGTTGTATGGGTGTGTAGAGCTGTATTTGTTGACTTCATAGCATGCCAAAGTCTTGGGTTTGAATAAACGCCACCGCCCTGCTCTGTACAAGGGGCTGAGGTGGGTGAAATGCATGCTCTGCATTGAAGCCAAACCCTCCGTATCGATGGCTACGGCCGGCTCTGTTGTATTCTCCTTCCCTGTGGTCTGTTTGCCCCCGTGGTAATTCTTTGTTGTCGAATATCAGAAGAATGTTATTATTTCAAAAGGAGCCAAAACAAAAGCGTTTGCCTGGCTTTGGCAGGCGTGCAGACAGCATCCTAGCGATTGAAACTGTAGATAACTGCAGCATTACTCATCCGCACAATCAGACCTGGCTTTTCCCAGCACTTCAAAGGCTGAAGGGCAGCTTGACAGGATGACACAGAGCAGGGTCTCCTGGTAATGTAATCAAGGACAGATCAAACCCAGAGCTGAAGTGTGACTCAGACCCACTGAAGTAGATGGAAAGCCCACTCACTGCTGTGGGCTTCGGATCAGGGCCCTATAGCATCTCTGAGTTTTATTCATAAGATGCATCTACGCTACCAATAGGTGCGATGGCAGATGTAACCAAGCTAGCGTAACCTAGCTGACACTGATTACAGCGTAGCTGCAATACCACAGAGCTCATTATAGATGGCAAAACCTGCCTGGTACCCTGAGCAAATCCCAAGGGCTTGCTGCTTTCTATACCCAAGCCTAGGAGTTTAAAGAGACATGAACCTACATGAGCCATAGTCACATTTTTGACTGCTGTATGGATATAAACACTCAGCTCAAGCTCTCAAGTGGTATTTAGGCACCTAATTCTCTTTGAAAAGCTCCCGTTTGAGGAGCTCGGCCTTTGATGACACAGTGGTATCCTCTCCTAGTGACTCTAGGCCAGTGGAGGCCCCAGTTCCCCAATGGAAGTTACTGGGTCAGTATCCTTCAGAGGGGCAGATCCACTATGAGGTGATTGCGGGACCCCTGGCTCGGCTGTACGAGCGCTCGTGGTGCTCTGGTGTGGTGCCAGAGGACTGGAAGAGGGCCACGTGGTTCCCATCTTCAAAAAGGGGAGGAAGGAGGACCCGGGAACTATAGGCCGGTTAGTCTTACCTCGATCCTGGGGAAGTTTTTGAGAGAATTATCCTGGCGCATGTCCACGAGGGGCCGGGGGGAGATTATGCTCAGGGGCAACCAACACGGGTTCATTAGAGGCAGGTCCTGTCAGACCAACCTGGTGCCTTCTGCGACCAGGTCACCGAATCCTTAGACGCAGGGGTAGCAGTCATCGTCTTCCTGGACTTTCGGAAGGCATCGACACTGTCTCTCACTCCGTTCTCATTAAGAAACTGGGGGGCCGTGGTGTCGACACCCACACAGTCAGATGTGTCGCCAACTGGCTGGAGGCCGCACCCAGAGAGTGGTGGTGGACGGGTCATGTTCGACCTGGAGGGATGTGGGCAGTGGGGTCCCCCAGGGCTCGGTCCTCAGGCCTGCACTGTTCAACATCTTCATCAGCGACTTGGATGAGGGGGTAAAAAGCACCTGTTCAAATTTGCTGATGACACTAAGATGTGGGGGGACGTGGGCACGCTAGAAGGGAGGAATAGGCTGCAATCAGACCTAGACAGGTCACAGGGGTGGGCGGATGAGAACAGGATGGGATTCAGCACTGACAAGTGCAAGGTGCTGCACCTGGGGAGGAAGAGCCGGCACCATACCTACAGGCTGGGGGACTCCCTTCTCGGCAGTGCAGAGGCAGAAAAGGATCTTGGAGTCATCACTGATGCCAAGATGAACATGGGCCGGCAGTGTGGGGAC